TGTGCACAATAGGTCGAAGTGACACTGTGTGCAAATTTTCAGCCAAATCTGGCCTTCTAGAAAAAAAAACGATAAAGGAGCGGTCTGATTACAACAGACTGGGGTGGGAATAGTTCAATAGTGGCGGAACTAGATCACAAACTTAAAAAAATACCGAGAAACTAAATAGAATCCTAGAAAGCATTGAAATACACAAAATAAATGAGAAAAAAACAACTTACCAAATTTGTATACTAGTTGTTCGCGCCGAAAGTGCCGTCTCATTTGTACACGCTATTTCACGTACCACAGTCGATTTAAGCCAAACGCTCGAAAACGCTCGAAAAAGTACCCCTCATTTGAACACCCATAACTTTGTTGAAAGTTAAGCTATCGGAGAGGTGAAAGTAGGAATGGGTAGAGCTAGGTTGGCTCTTATCACCTGGATTGAGCGATTTCAAAAACGTTTCCGGTTACCCACGAGACTTTTCCCGTTGTGATCATCGTTGTGATCCGTCTGTGATCATTTTTGCGAACGCGAGTCGCTACGCTTTGGACGTCCATGGCAAGCTTCATACACGGCCTTTCGTAAAAAAAAGAACTGTGCCGGAAGCTTGAAGATTTCTACTTTCCAGCAGAGTTTTAATTTTCGTCTCCTAAGGCTCCGCCTATTCGAAGAAATTCCCCGGTTGTTGCATCATTGGTAATCACCCCCACGCGGACACCGAAAAACTCAACGCCGCTCCGAGGTGCCTAGAAACCTCCAGTTGGGGCTTGCGTCATGTTGGTATCGCTTCTGAAACACATGTTTTCGTCAAGCATACCAGATAATAGGCCATTGGGCGCCAATTGGCATCACATATGCAATGCGCCATGCATGGGGCTTTCACGCAGGTGTTTGAAAGGTGTAACTTCTAGATAGGGCTTCCCAATTGCAAGCAAATATGCTCCTGCAATAAGAAAAGTCCGGGAATGTACTTTCATCTGTTTATTAATCGTCACGATCGTGGCCGGTCAGTCTTTTTGTCTGTTTAATAATTCATGGATGCCCTCTGTTGTTGCGGTGTATCCTAGCGTTCTCATCATCGCCCCCTTCCTCGTAGCGTATGTGTCAGTAATCTACACCAAGCACCAGAAGTGTGGACTTCTGGACCTGCAGGACGTACGTATGTACTGCGACCTCCCCCCCCCGCCGCTCGACAGCAAAATTTTGTGAAAAAAACAGAAATTTTTTGAAGATATAAAAGTGGTAGGAGGTTGGAAAAGTCTAGGGAAGAGGTAACATGGGGAGGGGGTCGTACTTGAAGATGGAATTAGGGGGGTCGTATTTTTCAGGAAATGATCACAACGCAATGGCGTGCCCTGCTGCACGTCACCCTGAGAAATCGAGAGAATCTCTGGCTAAAACAAGTGCAGAGCGTCATTGCGTGGTGAAAGCGAAGAGATGTGGTGGCCGTTCATAAACTCACGACACTACAGGTCATTACCTTTTCGAAAAGCTGCCGAGAGGGGAGCTTTAGAACGAAAACGTTCGTTGTTAGGAGCAGAGACAGCATGCTCAAGCCTGGAATTACCTGGAGCTACGTACCATATTATATTCATCCACACGTATCTGACTGGACCCCATTAATATCTCAAATGATATCAATAATAATACAGGTACACTCAAGACAAGTGTTGATCGCTTGGCAGCACTTTCACGCAGCAACATTTGAATCAGTCCTCGATTTCTTCCTCGCTCCCGAAATTCTTCAGCGTCACTAGGTGTTCTGGAAGCCAAACAAGAAATCACAGTTGAAATCAGAACTCAAAAAAAGAGGCTCACCGCTATTCCGCTCAACAATTTGGAAAACTGAAGGACTACAATGAATCATTTGATGCAGCTCCGCTCTGAGATCATCAGGAAAGCTCCGCAGATGTCTCGTAGCCTACAAAAAATGGAAATGATCGCCAAAGAACTATTTCCTTTATAGAAGAATGAAGACAGTTTTGCTCGATAATTCTTTATATATGCACCGCGCAAACAACTCTGACATCAGCCCAGGATTTGAATGTGAATTCGGGGCACTTTATGATTTTATTTTGGAGTGTTTGTATCTAATAAAAAAAGGAGAATGAATTCCCAATATAAAAATGAGGAAAAATGTAAATGGTCCGTTTCGCCTCTTATTCAGACGAACCTTTGGATGACGTTAGTCCTTTGGGCTCTTCAGTGAATGGGGACTAACGAAAAGCGAAAGGTACTGTGATGAAAGTGGTGATTCTAAAGAGGGAATCATAGTTACTCATAAGTAAAATTGTGTAGAGTTATATCAACAATCTTATAAAATCAGTGGCATAACAGCACCCGAATACGATCCTAACAGTTCTGCATAATAATTTATTTATAAATTAATTAATTAATTAATTTGTGATTATAAATTTTATAATACTCAGCAGGGCACATTACTTGGTGATTTTGGTCGAGTCCGCACGATCCCCCCCCCCCTGGTTCCCTCCTCATATCGAGCGGAGGAGAGTGGGGGCGGAACGATAATTGGTCCCGCAACCTGCACACAGATTCCGAGACTTTCCCAAAAATGTCTCCATACTTCTTACGACAAATATTGCCTCTCGGAAGCTGGGGGGAATATATAGTACTCATGAAACAGGAAAAACCACGAAAAACCAACAACCTTTCTCACAGAAGGTCAGAAAGGGAACGCGACCCTCTTCCCAACAACGGAGCATCCCCCTCCTCCACCCTCCTCACACGTCGTGAGAGCAAAAAAACAACGTTGCTAAGACAGAAAAATCTACTATCAAAAAATTTCTCGGCCCAAATACGACCCCTCTCCCAGCGACCAAATACGACCCCCCCCCCCGCCTGGGGAATCTAAAACAACGATGTGTCAGTGTAATCTGCAATACGCAGCGAAAAAAAGAGCGCGCAATTGTGATAGGTGGAATTGGTCGAAGGTATGAAATCCAAATTATCCCTAAAACTTTGCAAACTATCGGAGCCACCAGATGAGCCTCTAATCTGGGTTCCCTGAGGTTCCGCTAATGTATGACTGATTGAATATGGAAAAGAAACTGTACACTCACGTCCGTGGATGCTGATCTTTGCCATGTGTGAGGTGAATGTATCCGCACCCGCTTTAGCACGCCATTTTCTCCGTTCAATACTGCACGAGAACGAGGCTGGAGGGTAACGATACTCCGGTGCCGACTCCATACTCGACGGCGCGCTGCTGCGCGACCAGCCACATGCCTAATCTAGCCAAAAACTGTACACTGCTTGTCTGCCTCCTCTCTTTTCTGGTCTCCTCTACAGCTGTGTGTGTTTCGCCTCGGTATCTGCACAAGTGCTTTTGAGGATAGCGCGGGCGGAGTATGGAGCCAGCACCGGATATCACTACTCTTAGGCCCGATTTCCGTGCATCTTCGAGGGAACAAAGTGGCACGCTATTGCAGCTGCGGACCCATTCGTCTCGGACAAGGAAGCGACCGTCTTTGGAGGTAAGCGTATCTTTGATTACCTTGGCGGTCTGCTTTGTTTCCTCAAAGTTCAACATATCTGAGCATAAAAGTAAAAACCCAACAAACCATCCACTCGTCCTCGATTTTGCTTTTATGCAAGATGGAGAACAATAAAGCCCGATTTTCTGTTCTCCGTGTCATCAAAGCTGAAACAAAAATATCCGCTTCAGAGCAAACAACTCTCTCGAAAAGCTTTTCGGCCAGGGTGAACAAGTCTGTCCGCAGGCTGCCTTTATTTTCCTTATTCTCAGTTGTTTTTTTTTTCTTTTGGATACCAAGCTTTTAACCTTCCAATGAAGTGCAGTGCGGTGTATTCTGGGGGTAACTTTGGGCGTGGACGTACACGAATTTGGGAACTAGAGGATTTTATTCTATTTTGCAAAAAGCGGAACATCTATATTGTAGGTTTACTATATCAAAAATCCGCCCGGAGCGAAATTTAGCCCTTAAAAATGCTTCAGCTGTAAGGGAGCCCCTCCACTACACTGTCTACTTTCTTTCTAGGGAAATCGGAATGCTTCCAGTACACCTCTTATTCTTGAGGTGGATGGAAATTCAAGTACAGGAGAGTTACTCAACTCTCAGTGGAACACGCCACGCACTTGTCTCCGGTTCAGAATAGCATGACATTCTTCAGAAATATGGACCTAATATGGCCAAAAACACCATAAAACACCGTGCTCCGAGCAAGCTGATGGCACTCTCGCCCTGCTCGAACACACGTAAACTTTGTAGCAATGTTGTATTACATGTACTTTAATTTATTGGTTATAGTAATGTCTAACTCCACGGAGACAGGCAGCGCTTTATGACAGGGCAGCAGAAGGTTGAACGTTGATCCAACTAACGCTGCGACTGCTCTGTTCATACATCGCACCGCCAGATAACAGCAGGGTGTGTACATTCCGTCTAGTACTGAGTCCACTCCGGGCGTGTAAGCGCATGGGTTGTTTAGTGCGCGCGACCGCGCAAGCACACTTTCCCCCACTATTGGAGGGCGGCGTCGGTCGCGATGGAAAAGGAGCTGGGCGCCATTTCAAAAAAACCTCGCGCCGATGACACCCCCTCCCAAAAACTGCTGTGATAACAACGTTGTATTTAGCGATGGTGAACTGTAAGGAGTACAGTAAGATAGAATAGGATAAGGGTAAGCTGAACATTAGGGTGGAGTAGGATAAGGATTGCATATGCCAACGTTTCCCTGTGGCCTGACCTCACTTAACTGCTCGCGCTGACTCCCCATCTCTTAGGAGGAACAACGGTGCCGCAAAAAGTTAGTGAAGTAATCTAGGCAGCCTTCACAATTCGGCCACACGACGCGAGGGTCGCTCAACAGAAGACAGATGAATTTGGATAGAAGTTGCTTTTACGTGAAACATAATCCCAATGCTAACACGTGTACATTCATTATCCCAGATATGGAGTGGGCGGGTTGCGTATCTTCTGAACCTGGCCCTAGAATGCGCTTCTCATGGGATATTTCAACTTGAGACAAACGTCTCCCAGTCTTATCTTGAACGACGCTCACCATTGTCCTGAAATGAAAATGTCCCACTATAAGCGCAGCCACCGCCACTCTAAAATGAGGTATGTAGCTGCGTCCCCCCATCTCCGGGATAAGAAATATAAATATTATTTGTTTCTCCATACAACACTCCCTGTCTCAGAAAAATTCAAAAATGGTAACAAAACCGAAAAACCTAGATGTTCAATTTCATTGGCTCAAGCGAGTCCTCTGAGAGGAGCGTCCATTATCTGAGCAAGAGATAGCGAAGAGCCCATTGTGATAATGAAGATTATCCCCATGATGGATTTACTGAACTGTTAGTTTAACAATGAAGTTTGTGCGCGTTTACATTTCTCCAGATTGATAATTCCTGGAATAACTGAGCCTCCGCACTGGTTCGACGGATATCTTTTCATCCACTCATTCAAGCAAGCGGAAGAAATGTTACTAGGATTAGATTTAGTCCGGATTCAATGAGTAGTAATTTTTATACGGCGCACCCTGGTTGTATTAATCAAAACAAGAGGAACATACTGCCCCCTCTTGGGAGAGGAAGGATCATAATTGGCTCGGAAGGATTTTTCCGCGTGCTGATTATTCCGTTTCAGGCGTGCTATACATATCCCAGCTACCATTCCCTCGAATTTGGAAGGCCAGCTCTACACTCATCTCCGAGGACTGTTCCTGGTATGTGCGGAAAGAACGGATTGGCAGCTGTAAAATGGGGCACTTTAATCACCTGAAAGTGAAAAAATGAGGCTAGAGGGTAGCGATGCCCGGAAGCCGCATGGGACTCCACCCCTGCTCCCCAAGTTGCAGCAACTGCGTCGATACCAAAATTCCATAGCGAACATGCAGTCGGAAATAGAGAACAACAATTAGTTAGAGGGCGCAGAAAAGTAGAGCACTTCACCATGGCTAGGCCTGTGGATGGCCATGAGGCAGCGCTAGCGAAGTCCAGAAACGCACCCGGTTATCACTACCCTCCAGCTTCCTTTCTCTCTACCACATTGGAACATTCGAGCGGAAAAGTAGCACAGCTACCGCAGCTGTAGATCCATTAACCACAGCAAAGAAACTGGGTCCGATGAGTGTACGATTTGCCATTGAGGAAATTTGGTAAAATATTAGGTTGGACGGAAAGTCGTGCGACACTTTGATTGAACTGTTCTAGAAAAAGACCAAAATGTTTCGAATGTTTCAGTCCTTGATTAGTGGAAACTGTCCTCTGGGGTTTCTGCAAATGGGTATATCATGACTTTGTGGAAGTTTTCAAAGCTTAAAAGTCCCTCAGAGATCGAGGTACTTTTCGACCTATCCCATATTATGAGTTCCTGTAGGGCCACTCCGCCGTAGTCGAGGAAGCTAACACTTACGTTGTCTTGAGGAAGGATATCGCTTGCCATGGCAGAGGGTAGCTTTTGCATCAGCGCTTCCAAACAACGCTTCCAAACTGGACTTATTAGGTAGTAGGCAATGTATAGGTCGGCCACCAGCACAGAATGACGGCCCTTTACTCAAGCTTCTTGAGGCGCAGCCGAACGTAACCACCAGTAAGTTGGCAACCTCTCTAGGCTCCACCTAACTGACAACTGCCATGCTTCTCCGCAATCTCGGTTATCGGGAAAATTTTTGTGAAGGATGCCTCATGAGTTGGACCCGTCTGACAAGTCATGCCGAATGACCGTGAGGCTCACCTCTGCTTTTTATCATAGTTGCCGTAGTCCTATAAGAATGGAAATGAGAAGCTGTGCAAAAGATGGGCGGTAGCCCTAGTCATCAACTATGGGGTAAAAATACGCCACAGAGAGAAACTGGCTGATTGCGGATGATTGGGACAGTAAAGGGTAAATAGCGCCCCACTCATTTATTTGAAGATGTGGTGCATGGTTGTTCTACTTACTTCCCCTCCTTTTTTCCTGGAATCTGAAGACTTTCTAGAAGTTTCACTGGAGCAGTGTTGAATGGATGCTAACTTCATATACCTTTGTTTCGAGCTTTTCGTCGATCGAATTCATCCAGCTGTTCAGCGTTCTGCTTTACGATGTGATAGATGCACTCATTCAGCCTCCTGAAGGAATACATCACAATGGCTGACAGCTTATCTGAAGGAACAAAAAGTAACAGAACGAACAGATTAGGTATAAGTATTCCGTGTGTGTGTCTGCGACATTCCGGGCAGCGATCAAGCCTTCGTCGAGATCCACAACTGGCAGAACGAGAATGCCCACAACGAAGTGCTGTAGCCTGTAACAATAAGCAGTACTTGAGAGTGGTTACCTTCCTTGGGTTGTGGGTGATGGGAAAACTGAGTTCAAAAAAAGTTCTGTGTTTTGTTAGAGAACTTCTGGAAAACTCTGGTATGAAAGGTAACGTGAGTAATATAAAGCCTGGCGATACCTGCCTGTATAAAACAACCTGCTTCGCCAATGGCAGTAAAAACTTTGGCACTTAAACTACTATTACTACACGCGAAAAGCTTTAATACTTTTTTCGCACCTTTACCCACACAGGTTATTCAGTGCCCTGATCACAAATAATACATTCATGTTTAGTGCCCACACCACTTGGCACCACCATCTATCTCACCAAACGCGATAAGAACTTGTAGGCGGGAGTATTTGACATTCTGGTCACGATACCACGCTCGCTTTCGACGCTGGCGCCAATGGGCGCCAATTTGGCGCCAGAGGGTTCTCACTGAAATCGATGGAACCTTGATACGGGAGTTACCCCAAGTCCGGTAGGTAAGTCCGCCATATATACACGAAATCCCTGAGATCGGGTAAACGTGCTTCTGGTGAGATATTTCCATCTTGACACAATTGTTGTCGTCTCTGTCCAACACAGAACAAGATGACAGTTGTCCCAGACTGGAATATTCCACGAGAATGCCAGGTCTACTGTGGCTCAGGGATAAGGAGTGTAGGTCCGCGCGATGTCGCGGTCGCGGCGCGTGCGAGCTCCAAATGGGATGTTGTAAGTTGAATTCAATCGTTTTTTTCCTCAGAAAAAATCTGACACTGAATGAGTATTCTGAGCCAACGAAGTCACAAAGAGAAGTAGTAAGCCTTGGGTGATTGACGTACTGATTGGGGTTTGAATAACAGCGGTTTGGAGCTAACAATAAGAGAAGACTTTTCAAGGGGAGTTCAACGAACTCCAGAGAGACTCCAGAGAGGAATTCAGCTGGGCTATCTTTGAAGAATATGACGAGAAAAATCGAATTGATGTCGATTTCGTTATGGACAAACCTGGCCAAACCAAAGAGAGAACAAATAATCAAATAGAAAATGGGATCTGCCTTCAAGCCGGCCTTTAGTGAAAGACTAGGAGCAGTTCTGGCCAGGACAAATGAGTAAGGGACAAGAATGTCGAAGTCGATCCTTTTGGAATGTAGTTTTCTTCACCATCAAAATTGCAATGGTAGGGTTAACCTACACATGATCTGTCAGAACAACTCGCTTGTGTGTTTACGTACCCTCAATATCCCTGAGATGCGGTGGGCGTGGCTGCGTACTTGAACTGAGCGTGGCGGCGGCAAAGATTTTCGTGAGGTATTTTCGATAGATATTTTTGGGACAGTTGTTATCATATCTTTGAAATATCCCTCAAGTGACCCATCTTATGCCATGTTCAAATGCCACGCCCACTCCGACTCAAGGATAAGGAGTGTACTTCCACCGGAGAGATCTGATTCCGATTAACTGATCCCAAAACTGGTGAAGGG